AGCTGCAATGCGCCCTACTTAATTTTTTACTTGTCAATGGGGAAGCTCTGCAGCTTAATGTGTTAATTAATAACCTAGGTTAATAACCTATTCATGTATAGCTGTTAAATATATTATTTTAAACATTCTTAATTGTTTTAGTACGGGACAAAATTAGAAAAAATTTTCTTACCAAGAATTTTGTTCTAACGAAGAAAAATTTTCTTATTTTAAGAATAATTTTCTTGAAATCTGATTCTTACCTAGAATATTTTACTTACCCACAGGACAAGTAAAATTTTCTTGAAAGCAAGTAATTTTGTGCTTTGCAGTGCAGCTCCTGACATTAGATTCTGTATATCCTGACAAAATCCTATAGGATTCTGCCAGGAATTCAGTAGGATCCTGGCAAAATCCTATAGGATCCTGCTAGGAACTTTGTAAGATCCTGATAAGATCCTACAGGATCCTGCTAGGAAGTTTGCAGGATCCTGACAAGATCCTGCTAGGAACATTTGTAGGATCCTGATGGGATCCTGCTAGGAACTTGCAGGATCCTGACAAGATCCTGCTAGGAACTTTGTAGGATCCTGAATAGTATCCTGTAGGATCCTGAATAGGATCCTGAATAGGATCCTGTAAGATCCTGAATAGGATCCTGTAGGATCCTGAATAGGATCCTGTAGGATCCTGAATAGGATCCTGGTATGTATCTTGTAGGATCCTAGTAGGATCCTAGCAAGATCCTGCTAGGATCCTGTTAGGATCTTGTTAGGATCCTGTTAGGATCCTGTTAGGATCTTGTTAGGATCCTGTTAGGATCCTACCTAAGATTTCTACCAGGTCATACGGCGCAAAAAGATTTCTAAAATTCCCCAACACTCTTTCTGGATTTGATGTATATTTGACGGCAGTGCTGCCAGATGATGTACGTAGTAGCATGCGATTCGCTTTGAGAAATTACATTTGGACTCGCAACTTGTGCTGAAGAAGCATCATTTGATGATCCAGGATATTTTCTGATCAATCCTGTCGCTTCTTGCAACAAAGACACAGCACGCTATTGACTTAATTGCCTTCGTCTTCGCCCATGTTGAAATTACAACTCCCCGCGTGCTTTTCCCGCTAAATCGGAAGTCGAGTTTTGGTTTCTGAGTGCCATGCCGAATGACTATTTCAATAATGACTGTTTCACGCCGAATGAAATTTCAATAATGACTGTTTCACGCCGAATGAAATTCGAATAACATAATATCGAATATCATAATAGCATAACTGAACTTCATAAATGCATTTCCAATGGCATAATTGAATATATGAATTTTGGCGGATATCACACCTCATACAACAAGGCTGCCCTAAAAGTGCGTTTGTGCGTATTATTCAGTGCAGCGCGCTGTGATCAAATCGACATGTGCTGTTGTCTGCTGCGATGTCTTTTATATTCAGGTAAATGTTTTGTTTATACTTGGGTTTTAACTGTCGTTAAATAGTGATTTTGGTCAGAAATTCTATGCCGGGATTCTATTGCATTGGATTATGCTGACTATGTATTTAATATTTATTTATCAGATCTGATCGAATATTCGTCCCAGGCAAAGAAAGTCAAGAGATTTGAAACCATAACTACAATTTACTGTTAATATTTTTATTGATGCGCTCTTATTCAAGACGGCTTCATAACTTTATTTTTATTTCTACATTTATTTTACTATATACAATTGTTTGTAATCTATAATCAGATATCTGAATATAAATCTTTATAACATTGTATGTCATTTCACATATCATGATTGTTGTATAAAATTATCGAACTTTCAAGCTACATAAATTTTTGTATGTGCATGCAAAGTTATATTTTAGTATTGGAAAACTTTCATACTGTAGGCTGAAACATAGTAGCATGAGGTATAGTCGTCATCATGACAGTTGAGTTGCCTTGGAACTCTTACGATTTTGTGATATACACCCACAGTACATGAAGTTACACTTCAGGAAGTAATAAAGATGACAACTGTATAATCTTTATAGTTACTATATTATTTTTATTAAAAGCAATGCATGGTAGTATCTTTTAGCATTCTGGAGGTGGCAATGAGTTTCAATATCACAAGATTTGTCTTGGTATATATTGGAATTTGTCTTGGAATATGTCTTGAGATCTGACAACTCAGAACTGCCATTAATTAAATTATTAACACTACTGTAGCTGACATTGTACATTAAGTTATTTTATTTACCATGATATTCTAGTAATAAGTGTATCCAGCATACAATAGTGAAATCAAATGTTGACTAGGCAACAACCCTTCTATTATTCCATCTGCCATAAATCCCCTATTTTCCCCCTCTAAAATAGATGTAAGTCCCCACGGCCCCACCCACTTTTCTAAAACGGAAATGT